TGATGGCCCTGGATGTGGTGGCCTTGGGTATGATGGCCCTGGGAGGGTGGCCCTGTGAACAGCAGTAGAGCCACCTTGGGCCCTCAGGGCAGCAGTGCCCAGCGCCCCAGGGCTGTAGTCAGGAGGATGCCTCAGGACACTGAGCATGCTGTGGTCAGGAGGGTGCCTCAGGACACAGCATGCTGGACACTGGCTTGGTTTTGGCATCCTCCTGGGTAGTCCTGGGGACCTTAGCTTCTTAGGGGTCTCTTGGAATCCATCCTCATAAACGTCAGAACAGTCAGATGATCTGGCCAAGAGGATCTGGCTTTGTGTTTGGAGATGTCATTCTCCTGTAAGCATGCATGCACACACACGTGCACAGTAATCGCATCCTCTCTAGGTACTACCTGCTGCAGGAACACGTCTCTCTCCTTTGCAGAGAAAGCCATGCGGGCAGGGGCCAGGTCATGTTCGCTCTGGACCCCATATTGTCTTGCACATGTAAGTGCTCAATAAATGCTTAGATTTAACTTAACTGGGTAGAAAGAGGAAGTGGATGAGTCAACGTGGAACGGAGCTGGGTACATGGAAGTCGGCCTTTTTGACCATGAGTGTTGCACAAGGCTGTGTCTCCCTTAGGGAGTGTATTGCAGTGTCCAGCAGGCAGGCATGGTCCAGCCCTGCTCTCCTTTCTGGCTGGGTCCTGGGGTTCTTCTTGGGGTCTGTGGTGGAGGCATCTGCTGGCCCATAGGATGGCCAGCTGGTATCTTAGAGGCACAGCAGAATCTCTTTGGCAGGTGTGGCCAAATCTGATTGCTGTTGGATGACCATACAGTTATCAAGAAAATTATGCATCCGAGGTTGGCAAATAATGGGCATTTCCAAATGTAATAAGTTTGGGTGTTAGGAACATTTGCATTTTCCTGATGACTGATGATATTGACGACTCTTTCATGTGCTTATTGAACATTGCAATGGACCGAATGTTTGTGTCCCCACCCAGGTTCATATGTTGAGATCCACCCTCCAGAGTGATGGTATTAGGACCTAGCACCTTTGGGAGGTACTTAGGTGGTAAGGGTGGAGCCCTTTTGAAGGGGATTAATGCCTTTGTAACAAGGGACCCCAGAGGGCTCTCTCACCACCTTTCTACCCTGTGAGAACATGGAGAGAAGACAGCTGTTTATGAGCCGAGAAGTGGGCCCTCACCAGACACTGAGTCTTCCAGTGCTTTGATCTTACACTTCCCAGCCTCTAGAGCTGTAAGGAATAAATCTTTGTTGTTTGAGGAACCAAGTCTATGGCAGTCTGTTATAGTAGCCTGAACCGACTAAGACAGTTACTTGTATGGCTTACTTTGTGAAGTGTCTGTGCACGTCTTTAGCCCATTTCTGTGTGTGTTTTATTAAGTCGTAGGAGTTCTATAACGATTCTGTATTCAAGTCCTTTGATGGACAGATGCACTGTATTTTCTTCCAGTTTATGGCTCACCCATTCATTTTCTCAGTGGTCTCTTTTGATGAGTAGTCTGTGTCTCCTCTAAGAAATCTTCATCTATCCTAAAGTCAAGTTTAGGTCTGAGATATATTTCAAATTAATTTTTGTGCAGAGTGTGAAATGGGAGTAGAGATTCATTTTTCCATGAGGATATCCATTTATTCTAGCATCATTCATTGGAGAGACTTAACTTTCCCCGTTGGATTACCATTGTGCTTTTGTCAAAAACCAGTATGTTTGGTTCTATTTTTTTTTTGTCTTTCTTGTTAATGGTAACACATTGTCTTGATTGTTGTAGCTTTATACTAAATCTTTAAATGAGACTTTTATGTTCTCCAACTTAGTTCATTTCCCAAAATTGTTTCAGCAATTCTGGATCCTCTGTATTTCCGTATAAATTCTGAATATAAACTTGTCGATTTATACATACAGAAGCCTGCCAAGATGTTGATTCAGATTGTGTTTAAAAATATAACTCAATTTTAGGGAGGCTGGACATCTTAATAATAATTAGTCTTTCAATCCATGAACATGGTACATCTCTCCATTTATTGAGGTCTTTAATTTCTCTCCGCATGGGTTGTAGTTTTCAGTATACAAGTCTTGTACATCTTAAATTTATCCCCAAGTAATTTTTATTTGTTTTATGCTACTGTAACTGGCATTATTTTAGTTTCATGTAAACATTTTTTATTGCTGGTGCGTAGAAATATGGTTAATTTTTAAAATCAGTTTTATTAAAGGCTAATTTACATAAAATAAAATTCACCCATTTTAAGGTTGAGGTTTAATGAGTTTTGACAAAGGCATACAGTCACATAACCACCGCTGCAATAAAGATGTAGATCGTGTCTGTCACCTCAGAAAGTTCGCCCTTGGCCCTTCACAGGCAGCCCAGCCTGGGTTAGAGTTGGCTACACTGGCTCACAGGAGCCAATTCCGCATCTTTCTCTCATTCCTCTTTAGTTCTTAATGGTGGTTTTGGAGAAAGAAGTTTTAAATTTTGATGAAGTTCAGTATATCATCAATTTCTTCCTTTATGGTTTGATCTTTTTGTGTTCTTTCTAAGAAATCTTCGACAACTCATGGTTGCAAGAATTTTTTTCCTGTGTTTTCTTTTAGAAGTTTTATAGCTGCTAATTTTTGTTTATGTTTCACATGAGGTGAGGGTTGAGGATTTTTTTTCCCTCTTCTTCCCTCCCCCACTCTTCTCCTTTTTTAATCTGCATGTTTTTACGGTACAGCACTATTTGCTGAAATGACTACCGTTTCCTCTTTGTATTACCTTGGCACTTGTTTTTTTTTTTTTTTTTTTTGGGAAAAAAAGGAGCTTATAATTGTGGGTTTGTTCCTGAACATTATTCTTTTTCTGTTGACCTGTATGTCTGTCTTTACCCCAGTACAACACTATTTATTACTATAGCTTTATAAGTCTTGAAAGCAAAACCCCGGTTTTGTTTTTTCTCAGAATTATTTTGGCTACTCTAGATTTTTGCTATTTTATCCCAGTTTGTCAATTTCTGTAATTCATTAGTGTCATTTGTACTCTTCTGGAGGAGAGACTGATTAGGATTGCATTGAAACTAGAGATCAATTCAGGGAGAATGGATCTCTTGAAAATTGAGGTTTTTTGGCCAGACGTGGTGGCTCACGCCTGTAATCCCAGTACTTTGGGAGGCTGAGGCGGGCAGATCACCTGAGGTCAGGAGTTTGAGACCAGCCTGGCCAACATGGAGAAACCCTGTCTCTGCTGAAAATCACAAAAATTAGCCGGGTGTGGTGGTACACGTCTGTAATCCCAGCTACTTGGGAGGCCGAGGCAGGAGAATCACTTGAACCTGGGAGGTGGAGGTTGCAGCGGGCCAAGATTGTGGCACTGTACTCTCTAGCCTGGGAACAGAGTGAGACTGTCTAAAAAAAAAAAAAAAAAAAATGAGGTTAAGGTTTTGTTTTGTTTTGACTGAGTCTGGCTCTGTCGCCTAGGATAGAGAGTACAGCGGCACGATCTCGGCTCACTGCAACCTCCGCCTCCTGGGTTCAAGCGATTCTCTTGCCTCATGCCCAGCTAACTTTTGTATTTTTAGTTGAGACGGGGTTTCACCATGTTGGCCAGGCTGGTCTTGAACTCCTGACCTAGTGATCCGCCTGCCTCGGCCTCTCAAAGTGCTGGGATTAAAGGTGTGAGCCACTGCACCCAGCCAAAAAATTGAGTTTTTTAATCTATGAATCTGTGGCAGTTGGGACATTTTATTTTGGTCTTCTTTAATTTTTCTCAGCACCATTTCCTAACTTTCAGTGTGCAAGTGTTGCAGATATTTTGTTAAATTTATCCCCACGTATTTTATGCTTTTTTAAAAAATGAAATCTATTGCTTATATTGTCTTTGTATTCTCTAGCCTTGCTTAAACTCACTCAGAACTTCCATTATCATATTTTTAGATTCTTGAGGGTTTCTTAAATCATCTGTGAATAAAGACAATTTTGCTTCTTTCTTTTAAAACTTTCTGCCTCGTTGCACTGTCTGGGATCTCCAGCACAATGAGTAGAAGTGAGAGCAGACATCCTTGCTGTTTTCTGGTCTTAGGGGGAAAGCATTCAATATTTTATTATTAAGTATAATGTTAGCTGAGCTTTGTCATAGATCAGATAGAGGAAATCATCTTCTCCTCTTAGTTTGCTGAGTTTTTTATATTTTTAATTTTTAACAGTTGTTGAATTTTGTCAAATGCTTTTCCTTCTGTATTTGTGGACGTGATTTTTCTCTTTTATTTTGTTTGTGTAATAAGTTACATTGATTGACTTTTGAATATAATACCAACCTTTCATTTCTAGATTTGTTTTTATGTATTACTGAATTCAGTTTTCCAATATTTCATTAATAATTTTCACATCTGTGTTCATTAGGGATATTGGTCTATGTTTTCTTTCCTGCAGTGTCCTTGTCAGGTTTTGACATCAGGCCTGTGCTGGCCTCACAAAATAAGTTGAGAGGTGTTCTCTCCTCCTCGATTTTCCGGAAAAATTTGTGTGAGGTTGGTGGTGTTTTTCCATTAAATGTTTTCTAACATTCACCAGTGATGCTGTTTGACCCTGGAGCTTTCTTTGTGTGAATATTTTAATAATGAGCTCAGTTTCTTTAGAAGATATAAGATTTTTCAGATTTTCCATCTCTTCTTGTGTTAGTTTTGATAATTTGTGTCTTTCAAGGAATGGGTTTTGTCCATTTCATCTAAGCTGTTGAGTTTGTTGTATGAAGTATTTACCTTTTTTTTTTTTTTGAGACGGAGTCTTGCTCTGTCGCCCAGGCTGGAGTGCAGTGGCGCAATCTCGGCTCACTGCAAGCAGCTCTGCCTCCCAGGTTCACACCATTCTCCTGCCTCAGCTTCCTAAGTAACTGGGACTACAGGCACCCGCCACCACACCCGGCTAATGTTTTGTATTTGTTTTTAGTAGAGTTGAGGTTTCACCGCGTTAGCCAGGATGGACTCGATCTCCTGACCTTGTGATCCTGCCTGCCTTGGCCTCCCAAAGTGCTGGGATTACAGGTGTGAGCCACCGCGCCTGACCAGTATTTTCCTTTTAATGTCTGTAGTGATTCCGCCCTTTTATTCCTTACATCAGTGTTTTGCGTTTTGTTTCTTGTCTGTAATAGAGGGGAATGATATTATCTATCGCTGTATCTGTTGGTTAGTCCATTCCTTCCTTTCAGTTTGTCTATTTTTGCTCCATATATTCTGGAGTGTTATTGGGTGCATTCACATTGAGGGTTGGTGTCTTTCTGATGATTAAATCTTTTAGGAAAATGTTCCTCTACAAATTGGTCAAATATCCCTTGGTTCAAAGTGTCCTTTGATAGAGTCACTTAACTTTATGATCAGTGTTTTCACGATGTATCGTTTTCCACCCTTTTCCTTTCTTAACCTGTCTTTAAATAGGAAGTATATCTTTTACAAATATTGTATAGTGGCGTCTTGCTTTTAAAAATACAGTCTGAAAATAACTGCTCTTTAATTAGAATGTTAGCGTCATTATTGATATGGTTTTCCTTAAGTCTACAGTGTTGCTAATTTTCTCTGTGTCCATCTGTTAATTGTTTATCATCAGTCTCCCAGGGTGAGAATATAGACTCCAGAGGGTGGGGACATTGAGCTCCTGGTGGAGCTCCACAGGCAGATGTGGGATTGTGTTCCGGGTCCATGCCTGGTCTTTGGGAAGATGTGGGAGTGTGTTCCGGGTCCATGCCTGGTCTTTGGACAGATGTGGGATTGTGTTCCGGGTCCATGCCTGGCCTTTGGGAAGATGTGGGAGTGTGTTCCGGGTCCATGCCTGGTCTTTGGACAGATGTGGGAGTGTGTTCCGGGTCCATGCCTGGCCTTTGGGCAGATGTGGGAGTGTGTTCCGGGTCCATGCCTGGCCTTTGGGCAGATGTGGGAGTGTGTTCCGGGTCCGGAGTGTGTTCCGGGTCCATGCCTGGTCGAGTGTGTTCCGGGTCCATGCCTGGTCTTTGGGCAGATGTGGGATTGTGTTCCGGGTCCATGCCTGGCCTTTGGACAGATGTGGGAGTGTGTTCCGGGTCCATGCCTGGTCTTTGGGAAGATGTGGGATTGTGTTCCGGGTCCATGCCTGGCCTTTGGGAAGATGTGGGAGTGTGTTCCGGGTCCATGCCTGGTCTTTGGGCAGATGTGGGAGTCCAAGACCAGGCATGGACCCGGAACACACTCCCACCATCCTGCCCAAAGGCCAGGCAGCTCGACGCGAACACACTCCACATGCTGCCACAAGGCCAGCATGGCCCGGAACACATCCCAACATATCTCCAACAGACCCAGCCACTGACCCGACACACTCCCACAATCTGTCCAAAGACCAGGGCCAGTGGACCCGGAACACACTCCCTACATCTGCCAAGGCAGGCATGGACCCGGAACACAACTCCCACATCTGTCCAAGAGACCAGCATGGACCCGGAACACACCCTCCACATCTGTCCAAAGCAGACCAGCCCATAT